TTTGAGGTTAATTTTAATCACATAAATATTTTTAGTTTTATATGATCAACACTAGTTTAGAATACAGCTCTTTACATTTCTTATCAATCAACAAAAAGATACTCAGTAATAAGTAACGTAAAAGGAAGTTTTTACTTGTACCTGTACTTGTGTTTTTAGCTGTGAATCATCCTCTCAGTAGCTGTATGTAAGACAGTTTATTTTTTAGTTTCATAGTGAGCTATAACTTGCTTAAACTCATAAGTTTTACTTCACAGACATATAATTTCTAATTTATCTTTTCTTGGAAATAACATAGGCCATTAGTTAAGGGCAATTTTACTCAGTCTTTATTATGCTGTAATGGTTTTTAGCCAATTTGTATTAGAACATCACATCAAGATTTATATTTGCTTGTTTTTATTGTTTCAACTGTATATAATTAATTTAACTGTAGATGGGTTTTTATGTAAACCTGTAAATAGGATACTCTTTATACTATGAATAATAAACATACCATATGTACATACTGATGTGGAAATTGTGTTTTGAATGGTGTGTCATTTTAAGTTTCATTATTCATTAAGTCATATTTACCAATAAACTTAAAAGTTTTATAACATTGTAAGAGCCTTTCTTAGGAATGAGATAAACATGTGCTATTATCTTCCTAAGAAACTTTTTCTATTAAGTAACTGATCAACATCAACTGAATTACTTGGCATACTTTTCTGGACCTGTAATCTGTCTATACCAATGTTTTTAAACATTAAACTTAAAACTCAGGGGGAAAAGGTTCTTCAACTTGAGATCTTCTCTCCAGATCTCCATTCTTTGGAGTTTCCATGAGTGTGACCTGAAGAACTTGGAACCATTGAAATTCAAATGTAGGTAGGTAAGTGTTCACACCAGCGCATGCATTGATTGCCTTATATCTCTTTGTATTTACATCTGTATTGCACCCTCTCAGTGCCTTTCTTCCTCTTCCTCCTCATAGATCATATAGGGCCTGTGTCATCCTGATATTATGTAATTGTGTGATTCTGTATTTTGGTCAGTATTTGTCTGTGATGTGTGTCAGGAGCAATTTTAAAATGTGTTCAGATGTTTATGACATTGTGCTGTCTAAAGACTATCACACATAACTGTGTGCTGTGTATGGACCTGGGTTTCATTTTTGTAATTGTGTTTATTGAGCTCTGAATAAACATTCCACTGGAGTTGCTGATATTCATTAAGGGAAGCAGAAAGTATCAGTCGTGCGTTATTTCACTCTCTCAAATGTATCTATAGAGATGTGAAGTGTTTCTGGTACTAAGAATTTCTTCCACTTAGTCTTTAACTTAAAAGTTATCCTGCTACCATTCATGATAACATTAATGTCAGCTATTATCCCTTGAAGTCCATTCACAGCATCTCTGGGCAATTAAAAAAGTGATTAAACAATCATTTGCTTCCAGTGAAAAGAATTAATACTACTTTATTCTACACAAACAGGACTCCTATTTAGCCTTCTCCCCCCAAATATTTATTGGTAGCATACTAAGTTGCAACTGAAATAGGCAAACAGACTCAGTCATGGAATATTCTTCTAGACTTAAGTAGAGTTTCTACTCAAGTAAGCAAAATGAGATGGTTATGTGCTTAATTAATGTAATTTTGCTCAAAATATCTGACCACCAAATATCAAGAATTTCTAGTATTTTTTTTGTTTTTTTTATTATCACTTATGCCATACACATTGCTGAATTTCAGAATCTCTTTCATAGTTTTGTTTGTTTGTGTTTGTTTGGGGTCTGTCTTCTGTAAAAATTAGAAAATTCTTTGGCAGTGGTTCTTAAACATTTAGTGTCAGGACTCTTTTGGACACTGAGTGGCCAGATTATTATGATCTCTGAACGCATAGTAACCTGGCCACTCAGTGTATATCCTATATAATAAAAGGCTAATATGCAAATTGTCCCCTAGACCAGGACTTTGACCAGCAGGCAGGCCGGCCAACCGCCTCTGACCCCTCCCCTGGCCAGGCTGGCCGGACCCCACCCATACATGAATTCATGCACCGGGCCTCTAATAAATATATTATATATATTTAAATATATGTATTTAAATACATAAATTGAGACATTTTTAAAATTATTTAGTATTTTTAAAATAATAAAACCCCACTATATGTTAACATAAATAACACTTGTATGAAAAATAACTTCAAAATTTAAAAATACTAAATAAGCATAGCATTTATTTTACTGTGTGATGGTGAAGAATATGACTACTAATACAATTGGGTGTCACTGACTGCATTCACACTAAAGTCCCAGCAGTTTTACCTGCCAATGTGTTTTCACCATCATTGCAAATGTCAATACAGTAAAAAGGCAAACAAAATATTGATAAATTTATGAAAGTTGTTTTGACTTTGTGATCCTAGAAGGGTTTTGGAGATTCTACTTTGAGAACCATGTTCTAGGATGCCTGCTTATCATGAGAAAATTTGTATCAACCTGTTAAATTTTTTTCTTCTTCTTCTGGGCCTTCATTATCCAAGCCTCCTTTCTTGATTTTAGAGTTATTTGAGCATAAATTTTGTTTTAGTTAGCATCATAGAATTAGATTTTAAAGAAAACAGCTAAGTATTCTAAAGTGAGTCTCTCCATTGGATAACTATACAGTTTTCTCTTCATAATTGTGTGTGGTTTATTGTATGTGAGTATACAATTAATTTGCTCCTGGGTAGTAGTAAAATACGTTTTCATGAAGCAACATGATTTTATTGAATTATGGCGAGTCACACCATGTGTCATTGTGATAAGCTTCATTTTTTTTCCTGCTTTATCACAATTTCAAATATTACAGCTTCAATTTGTATGCCAAAGATTGTATGAAACTCTGAAACATTTCTTAACTTTTTGCCCACTCTTTTCCCTGGAACCAAAATTCATAATACTGTAAAAGTGGTCCACGAAAGTTGTAGAGATGCCCAGTTAAGAGACCATTAACATCATCTTCTAACTGGCATTCTCCTGTTGAGTTATCTCCTTTGCAGAATTTGTTATTCTTCTGATGTCCCTGGACTGTGGGATTTTTATAATTTGTACCAACAGTACTGAGAGGTGTGTGTGATGCTTACATATATACAGATATATAGTGGAGTTTGACTCACACTCAATGCATGCGCTAGTGCTCACGCTTACATACCTGAGATTTAATGATTTCAACAGCTCTGCAGTATTTGAAGAGGTAGTAAAACGAATAAATAAATAATTGAAAGTTTAAAATACTTCTAAAGAGCAAGGATCTGCAGGTGACTCAATAATAAAGAACTGTCTATTGGTAAGTAATCCACGTAATTTCTAACTTGGAAAGCTTCTCCATGTGCCGCGCCTCTAATGTAGGTATAATACTGTATCCTATAACAAGTAATTTGCCTATAAGATGCATATTGTGAATCACTTATTAATTGCTGACTTGTATAGTTAGGAAAAATATTGAACATCAAAAGCCTAAAAACAGATCATTTAGTTGAATATATTATTTTTTTTCTGTCTCTTTTTAAAAGTCTTCATAGTTCTATTGCAAAATTTGAAATTGTTTTAGACTATCTGAACTCAAAATTTAAACTTCCTTCTGCCCTCCTTCCCCCAGGCCTGTTTTTTATTCTTATTTTGGTTATAGGCCCCTTTCTAGTATAGATAGTCTCCCACAACTGAACGAGATAATATTTGTAATTATCCACTCATCAGTTTTCAGGGCCATCAGCCTCTGTTGGCTATCTCTTCATACTTTCTAAAGGTAGGAAAAATTAACTATAAAAACCACCAGGTGAATAATCAGCTGGCATGTGATACAGCTCAACCCTGTCTTTATGATCTTTTCTGGTAATCTCTCAACCAGAGTGATCCGATCTATAGGTTAAGAATTATAAAGAGATTAGAAGGCAAACTTTGTCAAGGAAAGCATGCTGTGAGGAAAATTTGTATTGTGAAAAACAGATTTTTATCTTTAGATTCCCAGTAGGTAGCTTACTAGAATTTGGAGAAAATTATTAGCTTGAAAATGACATACAATTTTTAAAGAAAAATAATTGATAACTTCCCTGTATCTTTGGATGAACCACTTATCAACAGTAACTTGATGTTTTGCATAGACATATGTTTATGTCTTATCTTATTCTAAGAAGCAGTACTTAGGGTTGGCATTTTGGTTTATTTATTTTCAACTTTGTTACAGGTATTCTATTGTAAATGAAGAAGCGTTGTGGAAATCCAAGTCATATTAGTACTTTAAATTCAGTTAGTTTCTTAGAATATGAAGACAAGCATTGATGACAAAACCATACTGACCTCATTTTCATTCTCTTCACCTGTCAAGCCAAATTTTCCTTTCTTTGCTGATTGTTACTATTATTAAGTACCAATTTGAGGAGAAAAAATATTTTAAGTAACCCTTTCTTTCCTTGTTGAAACTACTTTTCATCCTAGCAGTCATTGGAGAATGCTCTGCTGCAATTAAAAAATTTTGTGAATTACATGTTTATACTTTTTATTCTTTATTAAGTTATTCTAATTGTCTTCTCTCTTGGTCTTTATTAAAACTTGCTTTTTAAAAAATGCTTTTTATATACTCTCATTTCCTGTGATGCAGATGTTACCCAGTCTAACCTTTTTATTTAAAAACCAATGGTAATGTTTATTCATTTATACATCTTTAAAGCCTACGTTGCAAAGGTATAAGAGCCTCTTTAAACACACACACACACACACACACACACACACACACTAATGTTTGATGCATTATTTCAATTATTTTTATTTCTAAATTTCTTTTAATTATTGGAAAGATTCAAGACAACTCTTCTGAACTAATGTCTTTAAATTTTCAATACAATTATATGAATGGACTTAATTTTATTTTACTATCATTGAAATAGTATTGAGTTTGCAATAAAGAGAATAAGAGGTGTTTTTCTTTTTACTAATGTCTCTTTGGTACAAAAAAAATTTTTTTGTTTGATTTTGCAGATTCCCTTCAGGCTCAGCTTATCAATATGGGTGTTATTCCTACCCTAGTGTCATTACTGGGCATCCACTACCAAAATGCAGCTCTTACAGAAATGTGTCTTGTAGCATTTGGCAATTTAGCAGAACTTGGTAAGTCTTGGTCATGAACCACTAATGTAGTCAACTTATTAATGTACTTAAATTTTTCTTTGGATATTAACAACATGGAAACCCATTTAGATTATATTAGATTATTTCTTTAAAGCATTATAGATATTTGCTTTAATATTAAAGAAATATAGATCAAAGTATATCTTATAATTGTATTATTTAAAATTGAGAACTATTTTTGCTTCCCTAATTGTTTCATGTATTGAAATTTAAGTGTTCTATTTATATTATTTAATAAGTTGAACATTTAAAATGATCACCCTTGACTTTAGTAATTTTACATGAGTGATCATCTTAAAATCAAGTAATTATATTTCTAGGGCAAAAAAAAAGACTTCATAATTTATTACATTTTCAAATGAAAAGGAATCTATCAGACTATAGTCTCTCCTCCTCTTTTTACAAAGTCCCTAAAAATGATAGGACAATTTTTCATAAGAATATATTTGTAATGGAATAGAAAAATTATGAGAACTCCTTGAAAATCAAAAGACAGGCAAAAACAGACCAATGCTGGAAATAGTCCAGTTATAGCAGAGAAGAGGACTAATGACCCCAGCACCCTGATCCCTTTTCTTTATTTTTCTCTATATCATGTGTAGTACTCTTTCCTCTCTCCTTCCTTCCCATAATAGGAAGTTACAACTCGTAGTCTGAATTTACTGCACAACTATATTCATAAATTATTCTGGAGACAATGAAACCAAATGATGTTTTGTCATAGATAAATATAATAGCTACTACAAAAGATAAATCTATTATTTATTCCCATTTTATAAATAAACTAGAGGCCCAGTGCATGAAATTCATGCACAGAGTTGGGGGTGTCCCTCAACCCGGCCTGCACCTTCTTGAAATCCGGGACTCCCTGGACATCCCTCTCGCAATCTAGGATTGCTGGCTCCTAACAAATCACCTTCCTGCGTGCCTGCCTACCTGCCTACCTGCCTCATCGCCTCTAGCTACTCTGCCTGCCTGCCTCATCGCCCCTGTCTCTGCCTGCCTGCCTCATTGCCCCTGTCTCTGCCTGCCTGCCTCATTGCCCCTAACCATTCTGCCTGCCTGCCTGCCTGCCTCATTGTCCCTAACCACTCTGCCTGCCTGCCTGATCACCCATAACTGCTCACTTGCCTGTCTGATCACCCCTAACTGCTTACCCGCCTGCCTGATTGCTCCTAACTGCTTGCCTGCCTGCCTGCCTGCCTGCCTGCCTGATTACCTCTAACTGCTCTGCCTTGGCTCCTGCCACTGCAGCTTCATCCAGAAGGATGTCCAAAATGATATCTGGAAGGTCGTTGGGCTGTTGGTCTAATTAGCATATTATGCTTTTATTATTATAGATTAAACAGAAGCACCAGAACTCTAAACTTGGATTTTTCTAACTGAAAGTTTAGGTCCTTATACATTATTAAAATCTTGATTTTAGTACTTTACTTTTGCTTTGACTTCAAGTTAAAAGAACAGAGATTATCACAGTTAATTTTAAAATTCTTTTTCAGTGGGTCATCTGCTGGTATTTGTGAATCTTTTTTCTCCCCTCTGTTTTTCTACTTTTTCATACTGTCTCATTATTTCCATTATTAAGATTAAGAATGAAAGAATATTTATTTACTTTTCACAAGCTATTATTTTCCATTATTAAAATGGAATGTGAGAGTTTGTGTTCAGTATAGTTTATAGATTAAAACAAATTGTGTTATAATCCCTGGTACTGTAAAATCTGTAATGGAAACAAACAACATTTCATATGAATTGCCTGTGTTAAGATATTAGAAGTTGTTTGGGAAGTTATATAGATCACCTAAATTTCCCTGGTCTATAGTAAAAAATGGATATGCACCAATTTAGTTTAACCCAGTTCCATACTCTGTTCCCAGCTGTTGCTGCGCTCACTCCCTTTATTTTCAAAGATTTTTAGAGTTTATATCATGAGTCTTGTGCCTATGTAATAGCTAGGTTACATACATATCGCTACCAAAGTAGAGCATGTATATCCCAGCATACTTTTTCTCTTTTCACTGGGCTTACTGGGGCCCATGAGTTAACAAATCACATAGTATTGTTTTTATTGACACAACTGTGTATCAAGTTCATAACACATTCCTAGTAGTATGAATATGGGATACTATTATCCTATATAACAATCCTAAATAATAAAAAGGTAATATGCAAGTTGACCATCACTCCCAACACACAAGATGGCTAGCAGGGTAGGGCAGTAGGGAGGGACCAGGCCTGCAAGAGAGGGCATTGGGGGTGATAAGGCCAGCATATGAGGGTAGTTAGGGGCAACTTGGCTGGCAAGGGAAGTGGGGGAGAGGGGAGATCAGACCGGCAGGGAGGGTAGTTGTGGGGGACCAGGCCTGCAGGAGAGCGCAGTTGGGGAGGACCAGGCTGGCAAGGGGGGTGGGCATTAAAGGCAATCAGGCCAGCAGGAGAGGGCAGTTAGGGGTAACCTGGCTGGCAAGGGAGGCAAGTTAGGGGTGACAGAGCTAGCAAGGGAGGGCAGTTAGGGGCAACTAAGCCTGCAGAGGTGGACAGTTAGGGGCAACCAAGCCTGCTGGGAGGGCAGTTGGGGGCAACCAGGCCAGCAGGGGAGGGCAGTTAGGAGTGGCTGAGCCAGCAGGGAGGGCAGTTGGGGCAACCAGGTTGGGAGGGGAGCAGTTAGGCATCAATCAGGCTGGCAGGGGGTGATCAGGTTGGCAGGCAGAAGTGGTTGGGGCAATCTGGCAGGCAGGCAGGCGAGCTGTTGGGAGCCAGCAGTCCCAGATTGTGAGAGGGATGTCCGACAGCCTGTATAGGCCTGATCGCCCCTAACTGTTCTCCCTGCTGGCCCAGTGGGATTGGGCCTATACAGACAGTTGGGCATCCCTCGAGGGGTTCCAAATTGGAGAGGGTGCAGGCTGAGCTGAGAGGTTATCTCCACTCTCCCTCCCCCAACCCCGTGCACAAATTTCATGCACCTGGCCTCTAGTACTATCATAGAACTAAAGTACGTAATTTTATAGATTGGAAGGGTCTGTCAGGTGCCTTGCCTAATAGATGAAAATAGGCCCAAACCATAGCATATCAATGAGAAATTTTAGGATAATGGAGAAAAGAACATTTTACAGGCATTGTATACAAAAGACTGTGAACCAGTACGCATCAATTGTCTCAAAACAACACTGGCAGCCAAAAGGAAATAGAGTTATAATAAAGACATTGTCAAACATGAACATCTCAGAAAATTTATATACTTCATAACTTTCCTCTGGATACTGCTGTAAGATGTGCATTCCAAGTTAATTAAGTTATGAAAGAATTCAAGGTAGGAATCTGGATACAAGAGATCCAAGAGAAAACAGAAGTTCCTGGTAGTATGGTGACAGGAGAGCCCCAAATGGTCAGTGTTCAAAGAGCAACCAGTCCAGATTGGAACAAATCAGAAGGCTATTGGTGTCAGGGTTGGGGAAATTTGTATAGGACATGAAATTGACCGAATGTTTAAAGTGAATGGACTCAGTAAGAGATGATTAGACACTGATGGAGAGTTTGGAGTTAAATTTATGATAAGAACTTAGAAAGCAAATGAGAAAACAATAATTGCAGGGCAAATGAAATAGTATATTATTAAAGCAGTAGTAATTGATATATATATTAGAGAAATATGCGTAATGGTAATGACCAGCTCAGGAGGAGGGGCCGGGCATGGCCCCAAGCCTGAGAGAAAAAACACACAGGCGCAGCCCGGAGCCTGAGAGAAGAACACATGGGGTACCTGCTCGGTGCCTCTGCAGCGAGTCTGGGAGCAGGCCCCCAGTGGACACACACTCATAAACACACACACAGCTCCTGCTCCAAGCCTTCTTGGCACAGTCTGACATGCCCTCGTCCTTCTCCCTGTCTTATATCCTGGAATTATTGTTCCTTATTTTGACAGTCACTTGAGTGAACCAAGTAGCACTATCAGTTAAAAGATCATCAATTACAGTGAAACTACACTTTCACTTCATCTCAGCCACTACTCAATATTTCCAAGGCTTATCTGAGTCTTATCACCACCTGCAACTGCTAACATCAGAAATCATAGCATGGCCCTGGCCAGCATTGTTCAGTGGTTAGAGTGTCCACCTGCCCACTGAAGCATCTCAGGTTCAAGGGCACAAACCTGCATTGCAGGTTCAAATCCTCAGCCTTATTCAGGGCAGATGCAGAAGTCAACCAATTTATATGTGTCTCTCACCTCTCTCTCTCTCTCCCCTCCCCTTGAATGGAAAAATAAATCATAGCATGTTGTCCCTGATGTCCTATATGATTTTTCTTTTCTGGCCTATGAATGATCTCCTCCTCCTTCAGTCCATTCATATTATTCTTTGCATAGGCTGGGCTGTGGGTTTACCTGCATCAGTGGAGAAATAGAGCCCCCACTAGGTATTTCAAACAGATAGAATTTAATATTGGGAATTGGTTACCAAAGGGTTGGAAAGGAAAGGCTAGAAGAGAAGGAAAACAAAAGTGAAGTTAGAGATTAATAACTACAGGAAGCCATTCTCACTCTCATGGATAAAGGAGCCAGACCATGCCCTGCTGAGGCTGCTGAGAACTTGCTGCTGCCATTGGAACGGTGCTGCCAAGGAAGACAACAACCTTCGGACTGCACTGCCCCTGCCCCTGCCCCTGCCACCACCCTGGCTGAGCCAGTGAGGAGCAGAGAGTGGAGCGTCTCCACTGTGCCCAGGCTCTGCAGTGAGAAGTTAGGAAACACAGTTTCCCCTGAACTGCGGGGAAGCACAGAAGGGCATAGATGGAGCTCTGAGCCAACAGACAAGACCTACCCTTTGCCTATTCAGCATTTATTCTCACCTTTATCCTACGTTAAACTTCCAGAAACAATAGCAGGGTCACACAAATATCCCTGAAGTAATTCAGGTGGTTGTCATTTTCCCAAGAGAGGCAGAAGGCCTCATCAGTCATTATTTTCATCTCTAGGTGATCTGCTCCCATTTGAATTTTCTTAGAATAAAGATAATCATCAGTAATATTTCTTATCCTATCTAATAAAAGAGTAATATGCAAATTGACCATCACACCAAGACACAAGTTGGCCCCCACAAGATGGCTGGTGGGGGAGGGCAGTTGGGATGACCCAGGCCTGCAGGGGAGGCAGTTGGGGGGGACCAGGCCTGCAGGGAGGACAGTTTTGGGGGATGGACCCAGACCTGCAAGGGAGGACAGTTGAGAGGGACCAGGCTAGGGAGGGGAGGGGAGGGCAATTAGGGGTGACCAGGCTAGCTGGAAAGGGCAATTGAGGGCAGGCAGGCCTGCAGGGGAGGACAGTTAGGGGCAACTAATCTGGCAGGGGAGGGCAGTTAGGGTTGACCAAGTTGGCAGGGGAGGGTTGTTAGGGGCAATCAGGTCAGCCAGGGAGCAGTTAGGTTTCTATTAGGCTGGTAGTGGAGTGGTCAGGGGTTGATCAGTCTGGCAGGCAGAAGCTGTTAAGGGCAATTAGGCAGAGCAGGTGAGCAGTTGGGAGCCATCAGTCCTGGATTGTGAAAGGAATGTCTGACCGTTTAGGCTCTATCCCGGTGGGTCAGACATCCCTCAAAGAGTTCCAGATATGAGAGGATCAGACTGGGGTGAAGTACACACAGATATACACCCATGCACGAATTTCATGCACCAGGCCTCTAGTCTATAATAATAAAAGTGTAATAAGCTAATTAGACTGGATAGCCGAATGACTTTCCAGACATAATTCCGGGTGTTTTTCTGGACAAAGCTGTGGCAGTGGGGCCAACGCAGGCAAGAGAGTGGTCAAGGGCAATCAGGTAGGCAGGCAGAGGGATTAGGGGAAGTGATGCAGGCAGGCAAGTAGTGATTAGGGCTGATCAAGCAGGTGAGCAGTTAGGGGTGATCTGGCAGGTAGGCACAGTGGTTAGAGGTGATCAGGCAGGCAGGCAGAGGGGTTAGGGTGATCAGGGAGGCAGGCCAAGTGGTTAGGGGAGATCAGGCAGGCAGGCAAGTGGTTGGGAGTCAGCGATTGCAGATTGCTAGAGGGTGCAGGCCGGGCTGAAGGACTGCCCCCTTCCCTGCACAGATTTCATGCAGCAGGCCTCTAGTTACATTATAATTACTTTGAAAATACAGAGATATATGGTTTAAACGGGGGAGGGGAAGGGTTAAGAAAGCTGATGCTTTATCTTTCATAATAGATATGAAAGATATCTATTTTTAATGAAAAGCTTTAATTTTCATAAAAAATTCCAGGATGTATCCCCCAAACACAGAGCAACCAGTGTAGATTGAATTTGTTCAGAATTCTTTTGAGAGAAACTTATAGATGAATTAATATGATATCTGATACAGCAAAAGAAATTGAGAAGAGAATTGGAAAGAAATGGACCCAATTATGTGTGGACCCAAAACCAGCCTAAAGTAAGTTTAGGAATTAATACATGTGAGTTAAGAAAGTAGAGAGAGTGTATGTAAACAATACTGTTAAGAAACTTGTTTGTGAAAGTGAACAGAGATGGATGATATTTGAAGAAAAGTGGAATAAAGGGAAGGTGTTATTTTTTATATTGCTTTTTTTATGTGATACTCTAGAATGCAGGAGAGGTTGGATATGTGAAAGAAACAAGAATGAGTGGGACCCCAAATACATGTGAAGAATTGATTGGCTTTTAAAATAGGCATATCAGGATCAGTGCGAACTCACACCACTTTAATGATATAAAAATTAGTCACCTTTAATTCAACCACATAAAGTTCAGTCTGTTCTGAGTAATTTTTTTTTTTTGACAAAACCTTGAAACAGAATTTAAAACTTAGTAATTTTATTGTTGCTATGTCATGCTAATGATCATTTTTTTATAGTCTTGACGATAATTGGGTTAGAACATTTTCTTTAAAGCCTTAGACATTTTTTTCTTTTCAGGGGCATTAGAAAAAGGATTTGATAATTCCTGTATTTGAAGAGTGTTTATCTGTAATGGTATACAATGACCAAGTATTGGAAGTAATAGGAAACAAACAATTTCTGACTTTAATTTTATTTGCTTATCATAAATTTTCCTTTTTTTTTTTTTTAACAGAGTCCAGTAAAGAACAGTTTGCCAGTACAAACATTGCTGAAGAGATGGTAAAACTCTTCCAGAAACAAACAGAACATGATAAGAGGGAAATGATTTTTGAAGTTCTTGCTCCATTGGCAGAAAATGGTGAGAAAATAAATGCATCTTGATTTTTTTTTTTAATCATGTAGGTCTTTTCCATTTTTTTCTGACATTATTTAATTGCTAGCCATTTAATTGATTTATTAATGATGAAAGTTTGAATTTGGATATCTCTAACTTCAGCTACATTATCTACTTCATAACTGTATCTACATTGGCCAAAGCTACTGTTCAAATTCATTCAACTTGGAAGTCTTGACAAAGATGGTTCTGTAGCTTACACATTCTTATGCTGATCTGGGAAAGGTAGCTGAGAGCCTGAAACCCACTTTTGTATCCTTGCAGAGCAAAGAGGATGAAAGTTGGAGTTCTTGGCCTGTCAACAGTATAGACACTGGTAAACTACTCCTGTGTTTGGGGGGGGAAAAATCTTAAGGGATACACCCTAGGAATAAGAGTGATCCAGAATAAATAAACCATTCCATATGAATAATTTTTCAAATACAGTGTCTAGCATATAATCAAAGAGGACCAGACACATGTGGAGAAAGACATTGTAAGCAAGAACCAGCACTAAGAACAGGCAACAGCAGTAAATCTCCAGATATTGAAATTATTAGACATTGACTCAAAACAGGTATGCTTATTATTCAAAGCAAGCTTGAAAATTTTAGAAGGAAACTGAAAACTCTAAAACATGACATGACAAATTTGAAAAAAAAAAATTGGAAATTCTGGTATTGAAAAATAAAACCCAAATTAATGGATGGAAATGACAAATTAAATGTAGTTGATTTGGGGAACTAGTCAACTGGAAGATAGATTGAAAGGACATCCAGAAAGATAAGAACCAATATGCATAAAACATACTAAGAGGTACAGAGGATAAATGAGCAGTTCTCACATACATTTCTGGGAATTCCCAAAAGGGTGGGAAAAGGGTAGAGAGCAGAGGATGAATTTAAAGAAATTTTGGTAGAGAATTTCAAAAAATTCAAGAAGCCAAATGAATCTAAAACATGATAAAAATAAATCTACATCATATTGAAATTATAGAAAAACCAATGACAAAAATCTAAAAATAGCCAGGAAAAAAAAAATAGCTTATTTTAAAAGGGCTACTGTTCAACTGACAGCTAACTTCTCAATAGCAACAATGAAAACCAGATGACAGTGAAACATCTATGCACTGAAAAAAAAATGTCAACTTGGAATTCTAAATTCAGTGAAATACCCTTCAAAATTGAAGGCAAAATAAAGTTATTTTCAGATGAAAAACAGAAAGTTCACCACCACTGTATAGTCACTAAAGGAAATTGTAATGGGTGTTTGTGAGAGAAAAATGCTTCCAGAAGGAAGGTTTTAGATGCATAGGAGAATAAAGAGCAAAAAACTAGTAAGTAGATAAATTTCATGAACATTGATTTTAAAAATAAAAAAGTAATTTATGGTGAGGTTTAAAATATATATGTATATAATTTAATATACATCCAAAAATAAACATAAATCTTGAAGGAGGTGAATGATCTTAAAGACCCTTGTATTAGTTAAAGGATGGTGTGGTATTGATGCAAGCATGGGCAAAAAGACCAGTAGAACAGGATAGAAAATACCAATAGACTCTGGTTATTCAAAGATTTCAACTTTTAATGTGACTGCTAAAATAATTTTTTAAACCATCTGTAATTATCAAATTAATGGAAGAATTTATGGAAAGATTTAAGCAAACTGAAAGATAAATCAAAAGGAAGTCCAGAAAGAAAAGAAAAACAATAAGGATATAGAATATGTGAAGAACATGATTAAGAAATTAGCTTAATAAACATTTCAGAGCACTGTACCCAACTACAGAGCCCTTTCTTTTCAATTACACATGAAACGTTTTAAATCATAGTCGTGAAACAACTTTCAACAAATTCAAAGGACTGCAGTCTTTTGAATAAAAATATAACTAGGAATTCATGTTTAGGTATTTAAAAATAACACTGCTAATATTTAGGAGATCCAAGAAGAATCATGATGGAAATTAGGAAATTTTGGTTAGTGGAAATGAAAAGACTCTTATGGATGTAGGTAAAGCCATACTTAAGAGGGAATTTTTTTTGCTTCAAATGAATATATTAGAAAAGGAAAAAGGAAAAGCAGTAAGCTTAGTATTCATCTCAGAATGTTAGGGGGAAGGAAACCAAACAACATTGAAAGAAGGAAACAAACAGCTGAAATTGGTAAGATAGAAATACATAATGAATACAAGCATATAAGTCACCAAAGTTGAGTCTGAAGTAAATTAATAAAAATTGTAAATCTCTCATAAGTTGATCAGAAAGAAAAAAGAGAAAGAGAAGACATAATGAAAATCAAGAATTTAAAAAGAGATCCTACTACTGATCTTACAGAAATTATTAAGAGGATATATGAACAAGTGAACAAGTTGATGCCAATATGTTTTAAAGTATGGATGACACAAGAAGAAATAGAAAAGCTGAGTAATCTTAAATTTTTCCAGAGAATAATAAAAGCAGATATACTCACCAATTTATGAGACTACTGTAATCTTTCTACCAGATAGAAAGATAATACAAGAATGAAAATTAAAAGCCAGTTTCACCATGAAATTAGATCCAAATTTCCCCTTAAAATTTTAGTAAATGAAGCCCAGTAATACATTTAAAATTTATCCTCAAAGCAAATGGGACTTATTCTGAAAATATAAAACATTTTAATAGTGAAAATATAATCAATATATCTTTTTACATTAAAAATTATTAAAGGGGAGAAATTATATGATCTTCTTAGATTAAGCAAAGCATTTAATGCAAATAACTATGCATTCATGATTTATAAAAACTTTGCAAATCAGCACTAGAAGAGAATGAAAAGGATATATACCAGAAGCCTACAGAAAACAATATAATGATGAAACAAAAAGCATTTTCTTTCATATTTGAAATTAAAAGGACCGTTCCTATTTCCTAATTATTGTAAGAACTGTCCAGTACAGTAAAATAAGAAAGAAAATATATAGTAGAGAAATAAATAAAACAATATTTATTTCTAGATCATATGTTTATGTCGGAAATCCAAAAAAAAAAATCCATAGATCAATTTTTAAAAATTAATCAAAATTAGTTGGATTGCTAGCCAAAACAAACAAACAAAAAAATCTAAAAATGATATTATTGTGTACCAGCAAAGAAAATAGTTAGGAAATTCATTTTTAAAAATACGTTTTTACCATAGTATAAAATATTAATACTGTAAGAACAGACTAATAAATATTTAAGATCTCTGGCAGAAAACTATAGGAAATCATTAAGAGAAATTAGAGAAGATCTAAATAAATGGGAAGCTATATCACTTTCATAGGTTGGAAACCTCAGTGCTCTAATGAAATTATATCTACCCATCTTGGTCTGTAGACTCAATGAAGTTGAACAAAAACCAGGAATAGCCAAGATACTGTGAAAGAGAACAAAGTAGCAGAATTTCACTGCATAACAATATTTAAAGATTTATTCCGATGAAACTCTAAAAATTAAAGGACAGTGTGATACTGGTGCAAGAATGGGCAAAAAGACCAGTAGAAGAGGGTAGCCCAAAGACAAATAAATACATTTATAGATGTTTATTTATTAGGGAGTAAAAGGAATTCACTGTAAAACAGTATAGAAAGTACAATCGTTTCAATCAGCAATACTGGGAATATGAAAAAAAAATACAATAGGAGAGACACATATCCCCACTTTATACTATATTAAAAAATATTAAAAATTAATTTCAGATTATTGATCTATATGTGAAAGTTAAACCAGAAAGTTTATCTTAAAATATAAGGTAGGAGAATATCATCAAGATCTTGGAGTATGAATAATTTTCTTAGATCCCCAAAAATTCTAACCATAAAGGAAAAAAATGATCAATTTGGACACTGTTAAGAATAAAAAGGAAGACAGTGGGGGAGAGAAAATATTTACAACATATAACTAAGAGAATGTGTACAATATGTTAAAACTTCCACAAATCATTAAGAAAAATGTAGAAAACCCAGTGGGGAAAATGTGTAAAAGATTAGAATAAGTAGTTGACAAAGATAAAGTCCAAATGGCTATTAAACACATAAAAGTATTCTCAACTGGTCATCTCATACACCAATTCTTGGTCAGGGCACATACCTAGATTGCAGGCTCTCTCTCTCTCTCTTTCTTCTCTCTCCCTCTCTCTAAAATCAATACGCATATCCTCGGGTAAGGATTAATTCTCAACTCTTTAATAATCAGGGAATGCAAAATACCACTACATACCCACTGACAAGTCTGATTATACCAAGCATTGATGAAGGTTTGTAGCAATAGGAGTTATCATCAAGTGCTGGTGGAGAGTAAATTGATACATTTTAGATGAGTTGGAGTTGTTTATTCCCTATGATCCAGAAATATGTGCACCAGGAACCATTATAGGAATGTTCATAGCAGCATCCTATATAACAAAAGCCTAATATGCAAATCTACCTAACGGCAGAACGACCAGTCGCTGTGACACACTGACCGCCATGGGGAAGATGCTCAATGCAGGAGCTTCCCTCTGATGGTCAATGCACTCCCACAGGGGGAATGCCACTCAGCCAGAAGCTGGGCTTATGTCTGGTGAGCACAGCGGTGGTGGCAGGAGTCTCCCACTGCCTCCACTGCAGGTGGGGGGATAAGGAGTAAGGGTCCCAGACTGCGAGAGCCCCAGTCTGGGAGAGGGATGTCTGCCAGCTTAAGCCTGACCACAGGGGCATCGAGCCTAAGCTGGGAGGTGAACATCCCCTGAGGGGTCCAGACTGTGAGAAGGTGCAGGCTAAGCTGAGGGACCTTTCCGCGCGCCCCCTCTTCCCTCCCCACAGTGCACACATCTCATGCACCAGGCCCCTATTTATTTATAATAATGAACATTGTAAGCAGCTCATTTCCATTATCTAAGCAACTCATATTCATTAACAGTAGAATACATAAATCATGGTATCTATACTAATAGCCTAGGGCCATCATAACCTAGATGGACATCCGGTCACCAGTAAGTGCATGGAGCACCTCTTGGTTCCTCCCCTGCAAGCCCACAGGCTCCTATCACAGCAAAGCTGGTTGCAGGTGGGTGGGGCAAGGCGAGCCTGGTGAGGTCATTAGCCTCTGTCCCAGGGCTGGGCTGGAGGCCTAATGACCTCGCCGCTGCCTCGGCACCTGCAGACCAATCCCAGAAAGAGACCTGGAGAGAGAGGCAGGGCCTGATCCGCAGCCTCCATGGCTGCTGGTGAGGTGGGGGGAGAGGGAGAGAGGCAGGGCCAGAACAGTAGCTGCTATGGAGGCTGCGGATCAGGCCTGGAGATAGGCCCGGAGAGAAAGGTAGCTGTCAGTGGGGCTGTTCTGGATTTCTCAGAAGAGCCCATGGCTGCCTAGGAGGTGGAGCTTTTGACCCTGAATGACATATAAACCGACCAATCAGAACCAAACCTGGGTGAACTGCAAGGAGCCAATGGCTGCCTAGGAGGCAGAGCTTTTTGACACTGACTGGCATAGAAACCAACCAATCAGAACCTAATCTGGATGAACTGTGAAGGCAGAACCTAATGTGGGGGCTGAGGAGGGGTTTTAAGGGCAACAGCTGTTTGGTGTAAGGTGTAAGAAAGTGGTTCTGTTTTTTAATAACCAGTTTGGCCATATAGTGCATATGGCTGACTATCAGTCCAGATATAGGGATTATATATTTTTGTCTGCAAAGAGCATCTCCTGCTGAAAAAGGCTCCTTCACCTCCCCCCACCCCCCCCATTTAAGCAGTCCTATGCAATGTAATCTATACTAATAAAAGGGTAATATGCTAATTAGACTAGTTGAAAAGCTAGTCTTCTGGACATCCGACTTCCTTCCAGACAAAGCCATGGTGGTGGGGGCTGAGGCAGAAGCAGTTAGGGGCAATCAGGCCAGCAAGGGAGGGCAGTTGGGGGTAACCAGGCTAGCAGGGGAGGGGAGTTACGGGCCATCAGACATGCTGGGGAGAGCAGGCAGTAAGGGGAGAGCACTTAGGGGCGATCAGGCTGGCAGGAGAAAACAGTTGGGGGCAATCAGGCCAGCAGGGGAGCAGTTAGGGGTGATCAGACAGGCAGGCAGAGGTGTATAGGGGTAATCAGGCAGGCAGGCAGGTGAGCAGTTAAGAGCCAGCAGTCTCAGATTGTGAGAGGGATGTCTGTCTGCTGGTTTAGGCCCGATCCCACAGGGGGTCCCTGATTGGAGAGGGTGCAGGCTGGGCTGAGGGAACCTCCCCCTTTCCCCTGTGCATGAATTTCGTGCACTGGGCCTCTATTATTTATATAATAGAAAAATATATAGTTAAGAAACGAAATGAAGATATTGAAAACCAATAACGTAACCCAGCTGGTATGGATCAATGGTTGAGTGTCAATCTAACCAGGATGTTCCCAGTCAGGGTACATGCCCGGGATTTGGGCTTGATCCCCAGTATGTGCAGGAGGCAGTAGATCAATGATTACTCTTCATCATTGATGTTTTTATCTTTCTCTCCCTCTCCTTTCCTCTCTGAAATCAATAAAAATATATTAGAAAAATAAAGCAAATTTTATAAACATAAAAAGGAAAAAGCCAACACTGGAAAATACATATTGTAAGATTTCATGTAGTAAAATTCAAAACAAGATAAAATTATTGTAGTTTTTAGAAGTGATTATTCGGTGAAACAGTAAAAAGAAGTATGGTTGTGATTGCCATAAAAGTTAGGAAAATAATTTGAGAGAGATGGATGGAGGGGAGAGATTTGTGACAGGAATGCCCAGAGGGACTTCCTGGATTGTTGGCAATTAAATTTTTGTTTTAATCCTTTGTTCCTATATTGATTTTTAGAGAGAGACAAAAGGAGATAGATAGCATTCATGAGAGAGAAACTTCAATTGATTGTCTCCTGCATGCCCCACCCACTGTTGGGGATCAGGCGCATAACCTGGGCATATGCCCTCACCAGGAATTGAACCCATATCCTCTTGATTCCTGGGTTGCTCAACCACTGAGCCAAACCAGCCAGACTGAATTTCTTGGTTTAGGTTATAGTTACAAGGTTATTGGTTATTTAAGTGCACATTTTTATGCACTTCTCTGCATTGTGGGACTTTTTAAGCCATTAGAAATGATTTTTATTTTTTATTTTTTTTATTTATTTTTTTTAATCAATCTTTATTGTTCATATTATTACAAAGGTTCCTCATTTCTTCCCCCCTCCACCAGGTTCCCACCCCACCCTCCGCCCCCTCCCCATCCCCCATTGTCCTCATCCATAGGTGCACAGTTTATGTTCAGTCTCTTCTTCCCTCCCTTTCCCCGATAGTAAATCCCTTTTCAGATAGTAAATTACTTAGCATTTTCTCATATCAATAATACCTCCACATGCCCAATGATACACTTCACACAAAAGACATTTCCCAATAGGTCAACTAGCCTCATCCAGGCCCCACCCAAGGTCAACTAGCCTCATCCAGGCCCCACCCCACTCACAGATCAACACCCCAGCCCTATACTAACAACACATCCAGATCTAAGCCTTCATCACTTGATTCAGCAGACCCTCAAGTTCCCACGAAAGTTTCCAGCCATGTCTGAGAGGCAGCCGTGGGGCAGGGGCAGGCGAGGAGCGAGCTGTTCTGGGCCTGGCTGCTCAGGGCCTGGCCTCTGTTGCTCTGGTTCGTTCCACAACCAGCTGCTCCGGGTCTGGTCACTGCCGCTCCCGACCTAGTTGCTCTGGACTTGGCTGCGGCTGCTCCGGGCCTGTGTGTGTGTGTGTGTGTGTGTGTGTGTGTGTGTGTGTGTGTGTGTGTGTGTTGCATACATATATGCATGGGTACATAAGTGCATATATATATATATATATATATATATATATATATATATATGCAAAGGGTGGTGATAAAGGTACCGTGTTTCCCGAAAATAAAACATACAAAAATAAGACCTAGCGCAACTTTGGGAGAAAAAATATGACCCTGTCTTATTTTCGGGGAAACAGGGTAGATGTCCTTGAACAGAATGATGTTGATAGGTGTGTGATGGGCTCTCTGCTGTAACAAATGCCTTTCTAATCCTCCTTTATAAGGCTATTTAAATCTCCCAGCTGTGTATGTATGACAGAGTGATTATAGTCAAACTGTGAGAGGAGAGATCTGTAAACTTTAATCATGACTTATTTTTAATTTTCTAAATGCCTTAGCTCTTATTCTGTAGGGAGAAATTTGTTTTTCATCTCTTTGCTAGTTTGGCCAAAGGAAATTTTTATTATGACCTTCAGTCAATTTTTATGCCAGAGAATTACCTGTAACCTGCCTTGCAATGTTTCAAAATAACGTTAGTATTTGTTTCTCCTCCACCACCTTCACTTTTCTTTTGTAACTGTGCAGTAGATTGAATGATATCTTTGAAAACTTATTTCTGGACCATCCTTAACATATCATTCTTGTTTTTCCTTATATTCAAAGGAAAGTGATTCCTACATTTCAATTGGGATTTTGTATGATTCAAAAGTTGTTATTGTTTTGTTTTGTTTTTTGTATTTTTAAGGCTTTTTCATCATGGCTTTCTAGTCACTGCACATTTCAAGCCCTAGCATTCTGTAACCAAGGAAACGCCCTACTTTCAGCATGGCACAGTGCAAATGTACCTTTTAAAAAAATATTCCATGTTGAATATTCTATGTATTTGGAAATAATATAAAGACAAGTTTTCCTGGTAGTTTAAAAAACAACAAAATAAAATCCTCAAGTTTTACACATTAAAATTGCCTGAAAGATAAAGTCTTAGGTATAAAAATAAATATTTGTTTCTCCCAAATACTAATCATTGCTGTAGAACTTATACATAAAATAAAATCCAACTGAAAAATAAAACTAGTATAAGTTTAAAGATTGCTGTATAGCAAATGTATTTCTAGTTAGTATTAGGCATGTCCAAAGCATGTAGGTGGACCAGTTTAGGTTAAAATACGAAGATGAATGAGGTGTATATATATGTACTCTGATGGAGAAGGCACATATGGATGTGAATGTAAAATCTTCAATGATGTAAATTCTATAATGAAAAAGTATTTGTTATTAGGGAGATACAGACAAAATTATTTGATATGGGAGTAGAATTTGCTATGAAGATAAATTTTAAAAATACAACTGGAATGTAAATTCTCTAAAATTTCTTATTTTGTTGATTATCCATCAGAAAGCTTGAAAGTTATTGTGTGTTTTTTAACCTGTCGTGGCAATTTTAAAACCTAGTCAGATATACAGAGAACATAGTATAATGAACTACCATATATGTATCCATCACCCAAAGAAGTTTCAAATTAATAAAACCTGAAGCTTTTTAAAAAAAAATATGACTTAAAATTCAGAAAGTTATAGATCTTTTAACTACCCTGAAGAGATAACATTTATACAAATATGAATCCAAATGTACTTGTGATATAGCTTACAATTTACTAATAGCTCTTTACTTTTAAATAATTTATATTTAAACTTCATTAATAGATATATTCTAGCTTTTTGTAACAGGTATGTGTGTTTTAATTTAGACAGTGTGGGATATCTTATTTATTGACTTTTAAACATGAGCATAATATCTAGAATAACAGTGGCTTGATAGTACTTACCTTCAGATCTGAGAATTAGTTTGTTTAGGAGCTGCCAAACATTGTGAGCGATAACAATTTCAATTAGAAAAATGAAATAAAGCTTCTCTGTATTTAGACCGCACTGTCAGACACTTTCTTTTGAAACTCAAATCTTCTAATGTGTGTTATCTAAATTATGCGTTTTCTTGTTTTTTTTTGTAATTCTTCGTAATGGATTGCTTATTCCAGAACTTCTATTTTCATCTCAAGTTTTGATTATTTTGTTCACATTATATTTTTAGATGCTATTAAACTACAGCTGGTTGAAGCAGGTTTGGTAGAATGTCTACTACAGATTGTTCAACAGAAAGTGGATAGTGACAAAGAGGATGATATTGCTGAGCTCAAAACCGCTTCCGATCTAATGGTTTTATTACTTCTTGGAGGTGAGTTATAATTTATACCAACCAAAGAACATGGGTGTCAGATTCTGAAAAATTTATTGTCTCTTTTGAAAACACTATGTAAAGCATTTTTCATTTTCCTATCTCATTTAATCCTGTTGATGTGATGGTTTTGAAATCTTAAAGGAACATAGAGAGTACTAGAGATAATAAGCCTGGAAAAGAGAGGCTTCACTGTTTGTTTGTTTGTTTGTTTGTTTGTTTGTTTGTTTGTGTGTGTATTTCTAATATATTTTTATTGATTTCAGAGAGGAAGGGAAAGGGAGAGAGAGATAAAAACATCAGTGATGAGAAGGAATCATTGATCTGCTGCCTCCTACACCCCCTACACTGGGGATTGAGCCTGCAATCCAGGCATGTGTCCTGACCGGGAATTGAACCATGACTTCCTGGTTCATAGGTCAATGCTCAACCACTGAACCTTCCTGGCTGGGCTTCACTGTCTCTCACTATTTCAAGAGCTGTTATATAGAAGAGACGGCTGTGGCACCACAGAACTAAAAGCCAGATAGTTACTTGGGACTTAGACTAGAAGAACTCTAAAGTTTCTTGTCCAGTCTCTACTAAAATGATTCTTATTGTAAAAAAGAAGCATTACTTTTCCCCTTATAAATTCTATCATTTTTGAAGTATATAGATTCCCCATTGGCTATTTGCTTAGAAATATGGATTTGTTACTCAACATTATTTTCCTCTTATCTGTTTTGTTTCATTTACCTCCAGATGAATCCATGCAGAAATTATTTGAAGGAGGAAGAGGTAATGTGTTTCAAAGGGTGCTGTCCTGGATTCCATCAAATAACCACCAGTTGCAGCTTGCTGGAGCGTTGGCGATTGCAAATTTTGCCAGAAATGGTAAGCATATTGCTGCATCTTTTAAAATTTCCTTTGACATTTCATGTACTAAAACTAAACAGTTTAGAATTGCACGTAATATGTATGTGTATTGCTACCTAAATTTTTCAGAGATAAGTATTTATAGTGACTTTCTAACTAGGTAATTATATATTTTATGGAATAACACTAAGTTCTGGTAGTTTAAAGATCTTGGAACAGCCCTGGCCAGCGTGGCTCAGTTGATTGGGTGTCATCCTGTGCACCAAAAGGTTGCTGGTTCAGTTCCCCGTCAGGGCACACGCCAAGGTTACAGGCTCCATCCCTGTTAGGGGTGTGCAGGAGGCTGATGGTAGATATTTCACTCTCACTTCCATGTTCCTCTCTCTCCCTTTCCTTTTCTCTCTCTGAAAATCAATTTTTAAAAGTTTTGTTGTTGTTTTAAGAAAGAAAGATCATGAATGTTAATTATGAAGTCATTTGAATACTCGGCAATTCAGAGATTGATAAACTTGAGTCCCATTCTAATTCACATCTGATTTAGAAGGATAGTCTCTCTTGCCTGGTGACTTTATTTTGGATTTAATAATCTGAATTTTCATAGATCTCAATTTGTACTTTTATACCTATAAAACTTAAGTGTGGCTAATTCTCTGGTTTAGGTTAGAATAATTTAGCTTAATATTTTGGAGACACCATACTTCCATATTTATTTCTGAAGTCTGGTGTAGGAATATGAGTTACATTTGTGTTTAGTTTGATTTTATTGCAGAATGAACTGTTGTTATATTATAGTGGATGACTTATTCCATTTTCATTTCCTTCTTTTGGGGAACCATCATTAACTCCTTAATGATGGAATTAAGACTGGCAAAAGATTAATAATTGTTTAAGCTAAATATGGGGTATAAATAGTGGTTTATTTTAACATTCTCTGTTTTATAAATGTTTCAAAAATTCTATCATTAAAAAATAACAGCATTGATAACAAAATATAGAATACTGTCTCAGTCACATTGGCAGAACTCAGGCATGCTTCACTATTGGTGGACATTTTAAGCATGAGGTTTCTACTTACTTATTATATTTTCCAATTTGTTTAAGCTAGAGTGTTTTCTTATTTTAAAAATTCTCTCTATTTTAAGAATCTTTTCATCAGACTTCTCACTCAGTTAGAAAAAAATTATAAATCTGAGGGAGAGTTAGATTTCCCTATGGTTCCATTTTCACTAATGTAGATAATGGGTAGGCATCAACATTACAAAATATTTATAAATGTTTGTTCAGAGGGAAAAAAATGCTTTTTTTTCCTTCAGATGGAAATTGTATCCATATGGTAGACAATGGAATTGTAGAGAAACTTACGGATTTATTGGACAGACATGTAGAAGATGGAAATGTAACGGTACAGCATGCAGCACTAAGTGCCCTCAGAAACCTGGCCATTCCAGGTAAGACTGAACGATGGAAGGCAACGATGTAAGAAATAAAATCTATTGTTTTGGTAAGATTTTTACTTTATGTACTTTGTCAGATCTGCCCTGACCAAGGAAAAAAATCTTCAAATTGTTTACATTTTTTTTACTGATAAATGAAGATAAACTAGTTTTCTGAGACTGTACAAGTATAATCTTGCTTTTGTTCAGATCATTCAAATAATTCTATTACCCTCTGTGAACTCCTAAGAATTTCATTATATTGTATAGTTACACTTTTTAAAGCATCGTCAGTTTAGGTAAGATAATGGCATCAATTAACAGAGCCCCCAAAGAATGACTTTTAAAGTTTGTATTTTCCTGCAAGCATACAATTTTTTAAAAATAGCCCTAATGTGTCCTTTTGGATTAAAGATTTAAGCCATGGAATCACATTATCATTGGAAATAATATAGGAGATGATTTAAAGTGTTCTTTTATTTTACTTTCTAAAATTAAATTTCTAGTTAGGTAAGATAATATAACTGTATGAAGATATAATCTATATGAAATTAGTTTGTTTCATATAGCAGATGATGTTTATTAATTATTGTGACATCTATATTAACACAGCTGGTCAAAAACAGAGGTAAAAAACAGAGTTGAGGAATTGTGCTTTCTGTGAATAGAAGGCAACATTATCAGGTTTCCTTTACAAACTGTTTAGGTAAGTGTTTAGAGGTTAGGTTTGATTTTGTATATTATGCTCCTATAGACAAACGGGTTACAAGATTTTTTTTTTAAATAGAAAAATATAAAACAGAGCCTTAGAGATAATAAGGCTCAATAAATGTTTATTTGTTTATTGAATTGAATGATTATCATCAAGAATGCTAACACCATTTTAATCATGGCCTTTTTTTTTTTTTTTTTTTTTCCTCCTCTCTCTCTAGTTGTAAATAAAGCAAAGATGTTAGAAGCTGGAGTCACAGAGGCAGTTTTGAAATTCCTTAAATCCGAAATGCCCCCGGTTCAGTTCAAACTTCTGGGGACATTGAGAATGTTAATAGATGCACAAGGTAAAAGAAATGCTTTCCCAAGATGTTCTTTTGCTATCACAGTCTCAATGTGCCTCTAGTGAAAAAGGGCTTGTTTTCAGCTTTCAGAATTATGTAATCATAAAGATAAATAGCAAATGAAGACAAAAAGAGATTGGTTTTAGAACCCATTTATTAATTTTCATGCTTGCTATAATTGGTTTTAAGTGGAAACTACATGGCTTCTATTAGTACATGTGATCCTAATTTTAGGTTGATTTATTTGCAGCTCCTGATTTTTTTATTTTTTTTAGCATTCCATACCCATTTTTACCTCATCTTCAAAATCATCATGTTTCAATATAATGACGTTTTAAAAATTTGCTTTGCAAAGAGGGAAATCATTTTTCTGTGTACAGAGACAGCAGTGAAAACTTGGAATGAATTATGTTTATTTACGTCTAAATTTCAAAACTTTTCTCTATTAATTCCTTAGAGTCGTCCTAAAAATTCTTTATTATAGTTTGACAGAGTACTAACAGACTACCAGGCTGACCTGGAAGCATATGAAGTTGCTTTCTTTTATATTTTTTGTACTGAAGTCCACAACTTTATAGGAAAGGCCAAATAGTCCTTCAGATATGGGATACTATGTTTGCAGTTCCTGCTCTAATAAAATTGTTTTTTAAGCATGTAATTTTCTTGCATACTCTGTTTCAGTTGATTGCCTACCAGTGATTCATTCCTTTGTGGTTTGCCTTCTTTCCTATAGCAGAAGCTGCTGAACAACTGGGAAAGAATATCAAGTTAGTGGAACGTTTGGTGGAATGGTGTGAAGCCAAAGACCATGCTGGTGTGATGGGAGAGTCAAACAGACTGCTCTCTGCCCTCATACGACACAGTAAATCAAAAGTAAGTTCCTAAAGAAACCATTCACTAAGAACATTTGAGTGGCCTTTTTGTAAAACCGATATTGTAGATTGTACATCATAAGCTTGAGTTTTTTATGAATTTATCTGTAAATACATTAATCAAAAGTTCTGAAAATATAGTATCATAATTGAAGTTTGAACTTTTTAATTTTGTTGTATTCATAATAGGTGAGAGTAAAGTTTTGGAGTTAAACAGAAATGAGTTCATAATTTATCTGCTCTATTTACTTGGTCAAGTGTTTTCACCTCTAAGTAAAAACTGGGCTTTTCCCTACCTGAGAGTGTTGTGAGGATGATTCAGTGAGATCACATATAGAATGCTCAGTTGGTACCTGGTTGACTGCAGGCACTCAGTAAATGGAGGTTGCTGCTGTTACTATTTTTACCGCAACTACTACCACCATTATCAGCATCAGTGTCCAACATCTGTGTGCTAGACACTGACCAAGGTAGCTACTGATATTTAGAAATTAAATGATGTCTAAATAGTATTTGATGCCCAGAACCACAGAGTTGTACAAAATCCATTCTCCTGGCAGTGTCCAGCTTATCAGATGTTTGGCTCATGGTTGATAAGTATTTGTTGAGTGAATCATTAAGTTAACAAGTAAATCTTTTAAAGAACACAATGGTGAAAACCTGGGCCAGCATTCAGCAGCTGATTTAGTGTCTAGATTATATATATTTTATTTTTTATAACTCTTTTCTAAGGTAAGCCTTTTTACCATATCACCTGTGTACATCTGCAGAGAGACCAGCTTTGTCTGGGTGTCACAGAAGTGATGATGTTCAGGTAAACTTGGAGTCACTCAGAAGGAGAAGGGGAAGATTGACTGTGATGAGTTCAATATATAAACTTTTATGCAGACTAGACTACAAATATTAAGAATAAGACTACAAATGTTAAGAATACTGCCTGTATTTGAATCTTGGCTTGCTAACCATGGACTTTGGGAAAATTTCTTAGCTTAATCTGAGCTTCATGTTTTTCATCTATAAACTAAAAGTAATATCTACCTAATGAGATTTTCTGTGAGGATAAAAATGAGCTAATGTCCATAAGCTACCCAGTATAATATCTATTTTTTAGTTGAAGTATAGCTATCAATATTATTAATTTTCTTTTGTCATATGACATTATAAGTACAGTGCTTCACCTTTTTTTGTATCTCCCATTCTGTCAGACAAAGCAACTCTTTACAGTAGCTATTCAATAAGCATTTATTGTAATAGAAGAGAGGAAAGGCATTTTATTTTATTTATTTATTTTTTTTTTACAAATCGTCATTTATATTTACAGTATACAAATGCAAAGCATTAATTTCCCACTAAATCATCACTTTTTTAAAATGGTACATGTGATATTATGAAATTAGCTATTAAGTATTCGAAATAGTGGAAAAGAGGTCCTTTCTTCAGTCTTTTTTTTTTTTTTAAATATATATATATTTTTTTATTTTTTTTTTTGCCCCCCTCCCTCCCTCCCTTATATCCCCTCCCTCCCCAGAGTTTTATATCCATTGGTTGTACTTATGTGCATGTATAAAAGTTCTTCGGTTGATCTATTATCTCCCCTAGATCTTCCTCCCCTCTCCGCTGTAATTTGACAGTCTGCTTGTTGATCTACTGTCTCTATATCTATCTTTTGGTTCATCAGTTTATAATGTTCTTTATTATCCACAAATGAGTGAGGTCATGTGATGTTTTTCTTTCATTGACTGGCTTATTTCACTCAGCATGATGTTCTCCATTTCCATTCAGGTTGCTGCAAATGATGAGAATTCCTTCTTTTTCATGGCAGCATAGTATTCCATTGTGTAGATGTACCAAAGTTTTTTGATCCAATCATCTGTTGACGGGCACCTAGGCTGTTTCCAAATTCTAGCTATTGTAGATTGTGCTGCTATGAACATAGGGGTGCATATATTCTTTCTGATTGGTGTTTCTAGTTTCTTGGGATATATTCCTAGGAGTGGGATTACTGGGTCAAATGGGAGTTCCATTTTCAGTTTTTTGAGGAAACTCCACACTGTTCTCCACAGTGGTTGCACCAGTCTGTATTCCCACCAGCAGTGCACGAGGGTTCCCTTTTCTCCACAACCTTGCCAACACCTGTCGTTTGTTGATCTGTTGATGTTGGCCATTCTGACAGGTGTGAGATGGTACCGCATTGTTGTTTTGATTTGCATCTCTCGGATAATTAGTGACTTTGAGCATGTTTTCATGTGCCTTTTGGCCTTCCTTCTGTCTTCTTTTGGAAATATTCTATTTAGGTCCATTGCCCATTTTTTAATTGGATCATTCATCTTCCTTTTATTTAGTTGTATAAGCTGTTTGTAGATGTTGGAGATTAAACCTTTATCAGTGATAACATTTGCAAATATGTTCTCCCACACAGTGGGCTTTCTTGTTGTTTTGTTGATGATTTCTTTTGCTGTAAGAAAGCTTTTTATTTTGATGTAGTCCCATTTGTTTATTTTCTCTTTAGCTTCCATTGCCCTAGGGGCAGTATCAGTGAAGAAGTTCTTTTGGCATATGTCTGAGATTTTGCTGCCCGTGGATGCTTCTAGTATTTTTATGGTTTCGAGAGGGAAGGCATTTTAAAAGAAAATAGATGTCTGTTCCAGCAAATTACTTTCAAATATCATATAATTGAGACTTTCCACTAAATATCATATAATTGAGACTTTCCACTAAATTATATTTAATCCAAGATTTTTTAGGCAATAAAATTTGGAAATGGAAACAAAAATGGCTACTAGAAATAAATGTGTCCATTTTTTCATCTTATTTTTATTATATATTCTATATGTGTTTTTTATGTAATAACTATAATTATCACAGAAACCTGAGAAATACACTTATATAATCTCAACACCATAGATAAAGTCACTGAGGAGCCAAGGGGGTCAGTAATTTGCTCAAAGTCAGTGTTAGTGGTAGAATTTATAATATTCAGTCCTTTTGTATGTAATCCAGTTTTGTCAGATCCAACAAAGGATAAAAGCTACTCCCAATACATGTTTACCTGAAGCCCTGAAGCATCTGGCAAACAATACCTATTGCTATAATAAAATTTTGAGGGGAAAGAAACATTTTTGTTATTATTACAAGTTTTTTGTTTTTGTTTTTTTTATAGGAAACTTCTATCTTTTTTTTTATATAAATATATTTTATTGATTTTTTTTTTTACAGAGAGGAAGGGAGAGGGATAGAGAGTTAGAAACATCGATGAGAGAGGAACATTGATCAGCTGCCTCCTGCACACTCCCTACTGGGGATGTGCCCACAACCAAGGTACATGCCCTTGACCGGAATTGAACCCAAGACCTTTCAGTCTGCAGGCTGAAGCTCTACCCACCAAGCCAAACCAGCTTTGGCAATTATTATTATTATTACAAGTTTTATTCTCTTTTGTTGATCCTATGGTAAGTCAACATTTGGGCCAATGGCACTTTTATTTGACTTTGGTAGTTTCTGGGACTCTATTTCTTGATAGGAACTGCTATGATCTTTTTTACTTAGGTAGTTTAAGTTGTCACCTATTGATGAATTTATTTAACACTAAAAGTTTTTTCTTCATAATGTAATGACTCATACAGGACACACAAGTTACAATGAATTGACTGATTATAACGCAGCTTCTTTATATTGAAAATTCAGGTTTATAATTCTGTGATATTTATTTGTTATAGGATGTAATTAAAACCATTGTACAGAGTGGTGGCATCAAGCATCTAGTTACCATGGCGACTAGTGAACATGTAATAATGCAGAATGAGGCCCTTGTTGCTTTGGCACTAATAGCAGCTTTAGAATTGGGTAAGTACCCTAGTGACAAACTTATTTTCTTTTATTTTTATCTTGGATAAAAGGAAGCACAGGAGTAGAATAGAAGTCAGAACCTTGACTAGAAGCATTTGCCAGTGTGTGTTTGTATCTATATATGAGTATATGGAAAACCATATTCTACAGATTGTCACCACTGCTATCCCTTTTGGTTGTGTTTTTTTTGGCAACATTTGCTTTAAGATTAGTTCAATTAAGTGTTATCTCAAGTTGTAAGCAATTAGGGAACATAGAATTCGTTTTTAGCAGGCCTCAGAGAAATGAAACCATTTTTATAATGCAACAGGCTTAGGGTTTTCTACTTTTCCAGCTATCCAGGCCTTTTCTTCCATCTCTACTGCTAAATTTTCTGTTGCTAATCTTCTGTTATCTTGATTTCTATTGCTTTGTGGGGGTGGGAAACCTTTTTTATGCCAAGAGCCTATGTGGATATTTATAACATCATTTGAGGGGCCATACAAAATTATCAACTTAAAAATTAGCCTGCTGTATTTGGTCAATTAACTCCTAATGTCTTGCCAGGCCAGACCAAATCAAATGATAAGGCCCTTGGCCTAGATTGGACATTCCCCTCCCTTGCTTTATACCATTGCCTTCATTTTAATTTTCACCTTCTATGTCATTCTTCTGTGTGTTTTATATTCAGAATTCTCTAAATACAGTGTTTAAATAATGCAATTAATGTCTGTCTTGTAGCATATAGCTTCCCTGTTAGTCAGAATTGTTCATGAGATGCAAGCTCATACACATTTAGCTTATGGGTAGCCACCTTTGTTTTAGGAACCAGCCTGTAATGTAGTCAGCTGGGGGCAGTCAGTGTCACATGGCCTGTAGGTGACACCTTACACAAAGGAAGACCCTACTTAGTGTCCTGTCCAGTTCAAAGCATTGCAGGTAAATACTGTTGCTTTTTTTCCATTGAAGATTTATGTGCATAATCCTCACACTGGGGAAAGTGAACCCACCAACCCCTATCTCAGGAAGGAGAGGCCAAAAGATACACATGGTATATCTTCCTCCAGTGTCACATTTATTCATATGTGGGGTATAGGAAATTTGTGTTTTTGTCTTCTTACAGGGTTGTGAGTTTTTTTAAAAATCATAAGTAGGATGTAAAATTTTTTGAATTTTTTTTATTTTAATGATCCAGATTTTTATTTTTTATTATTTTTTTAATAAATTTTTATTGTTCATATTATTACAAATGTTCCTTTATTCCCCCCCCCCTCCATTGCTCTCCTCTCCCAGGTTCCCACCGCACCCTCTGTCCTTTCCCCACCCCCTATTGTCCTCATCCATAGGTGCACAGTTTATGTTCAGTCTCTTCCCACATCCCCTTTTCCCCTTTTCCCCAAGAATCGTTAGTTCACTCCCCTTCCATACCTCTGATTCTATTATATTCAACAGTTACTATTGCTCATCAGGCTTTTTTTTTAATTTCCTTGGTTTTTAGATTCACTTGTTGATAGTTACGTATTTGTTGTTCATAATTTTTATTTTTATTTACTTTCTCTTCTGAAAGAACCCCCTTCAGCAATTCATATAATTCTGGTTTGGTGGTGATGAACTCCTTTAGCTTTTTTTTATTAGTGAAGCTCTTTATCTGACCTTTGATTCTGAGTGATAGCTTTGCTGGATAGATTATCTTTGGCTGTAGGTTCTTACTATTCATCACCTTGAATATTTCTTGCCATTCCCATCTGATCTGCATAGTTTCTGTTGAGAAATCAGCTGACAATCGTATAGGTGCTCCTTTATAGATAACTACCTGCTTTGCTCTTGCTGCTTTTAATATTCTCTCTTTGTCTTTTGCTCTTGGAATTTTAATTATGATTCGTCTTGGTGTGGTCCTCTTTGGATTCCTTTTGTTTGGAGTTCTGTGTGCTTCCTGGACTTGTAAGTCTAATTCTTTCACCAGGTGGGGGAAGTTTTCTGTCACTATTTCTTTCAGAATGTTTTCGATATCTTGCTCTCTCTCATCTTCTGGGACCCCCATAATTCTGATGTTGGTTCACTTGAAATTGTCCCAGAGGTTTCTTACATTATCTTCAATTTTCTGGATTCTCTTGCCTTCTAGCTTCTGTGGAGGAGTGTCTTCTGGCTCTTTATGTTCCAAATCTTTGACTTGATTCTTGCGATCTTCCATTCTGTTTTTAGGACTCTGTATGATATTTTTTATTTCAGACAATGTATTCTTTATTTTTTGTTGATCCCTTATTATTTTTTGTTGATTCCTTATTAATTCTAGTTGATCTCTTTTCATATCCTCATAGGTCTTATCGATCTTTTCAAAGAAATTCTTGAAAAACCTTATAAGCGTAGATTTGAACTCTATATCCAGTCGCTTTTTGTCCTCCATTTCTTTCGTTTGTGATCTATTTCATCTCGGCATTTTTGCAGCTTCCCTGATGGGGCGGAGTTTCAGGGTGGAGCCTACAGCTTTGGCTTCTGTCAGCCCCGCCCTATGCAGCTCCTGAGTCTCAGGGTCCTTCAGTACTCATTGCAAGCGCCTCTGAGAAAAAGGTGCCCTTGATTTTCGCCTGCTACCAAACAGTCTAGGCTCTCCCACAATGAGCCCTGTATTGAGGTTCAGTTCAGTTGGAAGTGGGGTTGGAGCTGGCGTTCGGAGCAGTCTGGAGCCCCTGTCTCCTTCCCGCCAGGGCAATCCCGCGGCACAGCCAACCGTCCCTTCTCTGTGTGGAATGTGCGCGCCTCCGGGACCTCCTTTCGCCGCTCCCCCGGGGCTCCACCTTACAGCCCAGCTCCCTTTGTTTGAGCCTGGGTCCCCGGGGTCTGGCCTAGAACTGGGGTTCAGAGCTGTCGGAACTGGGGCCCAGCACAGTCGGAGCTTTTATCTCCTTCCTGCTAGGGAACGCCAGCCAGGCACTCAGCCGCCCCTCCTCTCTGGCTCCGTCCTCTCCGCGCACGCCATGTGTCCCTGTACCTTAGGCTTTTACAGCTCCTCCCCGCTTCCTCTGGCCTTCTCCTTGCTTCTCGTTGAATTTCCAGTCAGTCGACTTTCCTGTAATTCTGGGTAATGTCCATTTTATATTTTAGTTGTATTTTATTGAAATTGTTGTGTGCGGCTGCGGCTAGGTGTTTAGCTGTGCAGCCATCTTGGATTCTTGAAAAATTTTTGAATTTTGAAGATAAAAGACTTCAAGACAATACATGCTTACTCTCAGTAGTTGTGGAGAGACTGTGGAGGTCAGTTTGAGTTCTAGCCAAACCTGTGATTTCCACATGGTTTGGGTAGATTATGTGAGTTGGTCTAGAATCCAGACCTCTTTAAAGGATGGAAACTAGAATGGAGGGGTAGGAGTTGGTGAGGATGTCGCCTACCAAACTGGGTTCAGAGACTGACTTTAAGTGGCTTAAAAGACAGGAGCATTTTCAGAATATCCTTGGCCTTCCACCCTGGGGTAAATCTGGTTTTGTGCCAGGATCTTCCAAACAAGCTATAATTTTGAAGCTTCTTGATAATTTAACATTTGCTTGCATCTGGTCACCTTCCCATAGAACTATATAAAACAACAATACATACATTTTTTTAAAAAAAATTGTTTCCTAGGTTCATTGAGCTTAAGATATAAAAATAAGCCTATACTATCTTTTCATACACAACCTACTTTGGAAACTATATTTTCCAAGCTATAAAGAGTTCTTATATTTTTTAAATAATTATAGATTCACATGCAGTTTTTAGAAATACTACAAAGATATTCCTTGTATAGTTGGCCTACTTGCTCTCAGGGGAAACATTTTGCAAAACTAAATAGTATAATATTCTAAACCATTGATATAATTCACCTACCTTATTTATATTTTCCCAGTTTTACTTATACTCCTTTATATATTATATGTGTGAAGTTTTTATACAGGTGTTTTTGTTTTGTTTTGTCTTTTGCATGTGTGGGTCTGTATATCACCACAGTCAAGATACTGAATAAGTTTTAAGAAAACAAGGATCCCTTTATTTATAACTACACTCACCTGCCTCCTACCCCTGCCTCCCATGCTGCTCCTAACCCCTGGAAAGCACTAATCTGCCCTTCATTTCTAAATGTTCTCATTTTTTAAATGTTATGTAAGTAGAATCATGTAGTATGTGACCTTTTGGAATTGGCTTCTTTTGCTCAGCATAATTTCTTAAAGAGTCATCAGATGTGTCTTATGTCTCAGTTTTTTATTGTAAAATAGTATTCCACAATTTGTTTAGCCGTTCACTTATTGAAGGACATGTGGACTGATTACAGTTTGAGGCTTCAAAAAATAAAATTACTGTGAACATTCACATATATGTTTTAATGTGAACATAAATTTTTTCTCTAAATGCCTAGGAATGCAATTGATGGGTTCTATGATAACTGCATATTTAATTTTTAAAGAAACTCAAATTGTCTTTCAGAGTAGCTGTAGCATTTTACACTCATACTGCCACTGTATAAGGGTTTAATTTTCTCTGCATTCTATCAGCATTTGGTGTTGTCACTACTTTTTTATTTTAGCCATTCTGATAGCTACAAGGGATATCACATTGTGGTTTTAATTTACATTTTTTAAAATGTAATGATGTTGTACATCTTTCCATGTCCTTATTTTCAATTATATATTCTTTGGTAAAATACCTGTTTATCTTTAGTTTATTTTCTAATATTTTGAGGATTCTTTATATATTCTAAAAGTTTACACTTAAGTTTGTGATCCCCTTTGAGTTAATATGTGTATAAAGTATAGTTTAAGTCAGGGTTACTATCTTTGTAGCTGTCTAATTTGCAGCAACATTTGTTGAAAAGATTCCCTTTACTCCATTGAAATGATTTAAACATTTGTCAAAGATCAGTTGAGCATATTTGTGTGGGTCTATTTCTGGAGTCCTATAATCAGTTCCTATGATCTATGTATCAATAAATACAGCACTATCTTAATAACTATATAGTGAGCCTTAATATCAGGTAGAAGAATCTCTCCCACTTTATTATTTTTAATCAAGATTGTTTGCCTCTTCTAGGACCTGTAACTTTTTCATATAAATTTTATTATAAGCTCATCTATTTTTATAGAAAACCCTGCTGGGTTTTTAATAGGAATGAACATTCTTTATCGCTTAAAATAAATACAACCTAAAGTACATATGGAAGAAATAATGTAATTTATAAGATTTGCTTTAAAATAATTTGAGATGTGTGAAAATAGGTAGATGAAACTAGAGATAGATGAAACAAGATTGACCATGATGATAAATTTATGAAGATGATAGTGCACATGGTATCGTTATATTCTTTTTTCTGCTTTTGTATATGTTTAACAAAAGATTTTTAATTGCTTTACTTAAAAGGAATGTTTTAGCCCTGATCAGTTTGGCTCAGTGAATAGAGCATCGGCCTGTGGACTCAAGGGTCCCAGGTTCGATTCAGGTCAAGGGCATGTACATTGGCTGCGGGCACATCCCCAGTGGGGGATGTGCAGGAGGCAGGTGATCAATGTTTCTGACTCTCTGTCCCTCTCCCTTCCTCTCTGTAAAAAAATCAATAAAATATATATATATATATATTTTAAAAGGAATGTTTTAATTCTAAATATTAGTTTAAACTTAAAATGTTTGCTGGAATTTAGCTCTATTTTTTTTTAATAAAGTCTGAATTTAGTATCATATGTCTAGATCATTATTATTTATCAGTTCCTTTTGGAAAGTTTCACATGATAAATTTCTAGAAAAGGAAGCAATGTTTACTCAGATTGTACTGGTTCATAAACAATGAGTATAACTGCTACTTTAATTATTTCCTATTCTAGACACTGCTGAGAAAGATCTAGAAAGTACTAAACTTGTACAGATTTTACACAAACTGCTAATAGATGAGAGAAGTGCTCCTGAAATAAAATATAATTCCATGGTTCTGATCTGTGCTCTCATGGGATCCGGTAAGTATTTCTTCTGTCATTTGATTTCTACCCATCAACATATGTTTGACATTATTAAATACAAAATAATAGTAAATGGTGGCTTTGGGTTTAAAAAACATTAGAAATTAGTTTATGAATGTTATAGCATTACTTTTACATTGAAAATATTCCCAAAAGGTTCTTACTATAATAAATTTTAAAAAGCCCACTATATAGCAAATATAAGCTAAATCAGTATTAAAAATCAGTACCTGTAAGTTTCATCAACCTTAGAATATTTTATATAAAGAACAAGTTCTGATTTTTATGCCATGATATTAGCTAAGAAAGTTTTTAAAGTAATGATTGGCATGTCTTGTGGTATATGCTCCATGGACAAGTGAAAAGAATGTGTCTTCTGCTGTTATTGGGAGGAGTGTTCTTTGAATGTCAGTTAGGTCCTTTGGTTGGTAGTGGTGTTGAGTTTCTGTATTTCTGACTGACTAATCATTGTTGAGAGAGGAGTGCTGAAGTCTTCAACTACAATGATGGATTTATCCATTTCTCCTATCAGTTCTATCAGTTTTTGCTTCCCATGTTTTGTAGCTCTGTTGCTAGGTATATTCAACTTTTAGGATTGGTGTGCCTTCCTGATGGATTGATCTTGCTACCATTATGTAATGTTTCTGTCTCTGGTGATTTTCTTTACTTGAAATCTACTTTATCTAATATTAAAATAACTACTCCTATCTTCTTTTGAATAACAAACACCCTTTTAGTTTCAGTCTGCTATATCATTATATTTGAAGTTTAAGACAGCATATTGTTGGATCATATATCTTCTGTTTTGTTGGTATATAGTATTATATTAGTTACATTAGTTTTAGGTGTATAATATAGTGACTTGACATTTTTATACCTTATGATGTGATCATCTGCCACCATGTAAAATTATCAATGATTATATTCCTCTTCATCTTTGTTCAAATATGAATGCTAGGATGTTTGATGTTATCCTAACAATCTCTTATACTTTGTTACACACCCTCCTGGGTAACCATCCTTTTGATCTCTGTTAGTATATTTGTTTTGTTTTTAGATTCAACATATAAGTAAAATCATACATTATTTATCTTTATTTGACATTTCTTTTTTCACTTAACATAGTAACATCTAGGTCCATCCATATTGTCACATAATATTTCATTGTATATAAATATATCTTTATCCATTTATCTATCAGTGAACACCTAAATTGCTTCCATATTTTGTCTATTTGTAAATAAAGCTGCAGTGAACATAGAGGTACATTTTTTACATCATTTCTAATTTTTCAATTATAGTTGACATGCAATAGTTTATTAGTTTCAGGTGTATACCCCAGTGATAAGACATTCTATAACATATTAAGTTAAATATGTTAACTTAATATTTAACATATTAAGTTATCCCGATAAATTTCATACCCATTTTACACCGTATATAGTTATTAGCATATTATCAATTATATTCCCTATACTGTACTTTACATCCCTATGACTATTCTTTTACTACCAATTTGTTCTTAACCCTTTCCACTTTTTCATCCAGCTCCCTCCCATCTGACAAACCACTAAAATATTCTCTGTATCTATGTTTATTTATTTTGTACTTTAGATTCAATTATTGATATGTATTCATTTTTATTTTATTCATATTTATCTTATTTTTTTTCTTTTTCTTCTTAAAAAAAAAAGACCCTTTAACATTTCATGTAATACCAGTTTGGTGTTGAACTCCTTTAGCTTTTTCTTGTCTGAGGAGCTGTTTATCTGTTCTTTGATTCTATTATAAATGATAGCTTTACTGGTTAGAGTGGTCTTAGTTATAGGTACTTGCTTTTCATCACTTTGACTATTTCTTGCTAATACCTTCTGGCCTGCAAAGTTTCTGTTGAAATCAGTTAACAGTCTTGTGGGAGTTCCCTTTAGGTAACTAGCTGCTTTTAAGATTTTCTGTCTTTAACCTTTGACATTTCAATTATTATGTCTTTGGGTTCATCTTGTTTGATGCTCTCTGCACTTCCTGTACTTATATATCCGTTGGTCTCTATATCTGTCTTTATACCAGTTCTATACTGTTTAATAATTGTAGCTTTTTAGTAAGTTTTGAAATTAGGAAGTGTGAGACCTTCAACTCTTTCTCTCTCCCCCCCCCCTCTCTCTTTCTCTCTCTCTTTCTCTCTCTTTTCCAGGCTTGTTCTGGCTATTCAGTCTCTTGAGATTCCTTGTGAATTTTATATGGGTTTTTCTATTTTAACTAAAAACATTGGTTCTAGTTTTATACCTCAATCTCATTAAAGTAAGCCATCAATTTGAGGAATGCTGATTGCTTTATACTTACTGGATCTCAGTCTTTCCATGTAGTAGTTTTCAAAGTTTTACAAGTCCTAAATTTTCCTGTAATTGAGGTTAAATAGAATAAGAAAAGCCAGAAAGAGGAAATTTAAAAGGGAGCTTAGTCTCACAGGATTTGTTGAATGGATGTAAAATATAACCTTTTCTATTTGCCACAAAATTAATCTGAAACAGATCTAAGTCACTAACCTTCATATTTGAACTATATAACTAAAATCTTGAGATCACACAATGAGTTCTGTTTAATTAAACTCATTATCCTAATCACCCTTAGACCATAAGATGTGACATCTGATTTATCTTTATATTAATGTGGCAAGTAAAGGTCCTCTGATTTTATTTATTTACTTATTTATTATTATAACACATCTCTAAAGATGATCTTTCTAGGCTAAAATGGTATCTTTTTTCTAGTTTTATCTATCATCCAAATAAACATTTTGGATATATGTGTCTTATATTGATTTTTGTCTTCCAGAATCTCTACACAAGGAAGTACAGGATTTGGCCTTTCTAGATGTTGTATCCAAACTTCGCAGTCATGAGAACAAAAGTGTTGCCCAACAGGCCTCTCTCACAGAGCAGAGACTTACTGTGGAGAGCTGAGAACTGCCCCTCCCTGATACATGGCATCGTCCTATCTCTGGTTTCTCCTTTGTCCTCCATCCAGGTGCCTCTTCTGCTTCGTTCTCTTCCATATCACTTGTGCATGCGTGTAATGTTGCAATACCAATCGAAGAACTCTGTAGGTACCTGCCTAATAAGATTTCTAAACCCATAGTTAATGTGAACATGAATTTGTCAAAAACAAGTCTCCACCCATAACTGTTCTTTTGTATTCCTGTTGCTTGAGCTACATTAAGTAGAATGTGCATGTTGTAGTCCTATGATGATGTTAACTTGGTACTACATACTGACTTGCTCCTCACACTTGGAAAACTACATAATAATGTACTGGTAAATTAGCAAAAAACAAGAATGCAGCAGGATCTGTCTAGCTTATTAAAGATGATATTGAATAGTAAAAATAGCTCCTTTTTTTTTTTTTTTTTTTTTCGGTGCTTGGTAAGCACAGTGACCAAAAAACTGTATGGCTTTTCATTCATTAGTCTTACCTACCAATGTCAAACTCATGGTACCTAGAGTTAAATAAAATCCAGTGCTCTCATTCTTTATCCTACGGTTTCTCCTTCTTCCTAACTATGTAGACTCTTGAAACTGCCACAATCTTGGCCGAACTTCCTGGGGTTTTTAATTTCATGTTTAATTGGCTGTCATCAGTAACCTGATGTTGAAAACATTTGTAGTTTTCAGTATGAAACTACAGGGCTGGAATCCCTTTTACACTAGTACATCTTGGATTTTTGGCTATATTTTAGATTCATATATATATATATATATATATATATATATATATATATGCAGTTTCACTTTAGAACTTTTTCATCAACTAATCAGGGTTGTCCAACACTTGTCTGTAAAAGTCACTTTGGCATTTGTTTTCAACTAAGGAAACAAATGTAGCTCATTGGAGACTGGATTTTTTTGCCCATTTTTCATCATTCAGCATAAAAGCAAGAGGTTTCCTCTCATAGTCCTTTTAAATCATATTAGAACTAGCAGGACATAGGAAAGCATTAAAAACCTTTGTCTAGATTAAAGAAAGGAAGCAGGTTATAAAGCCATAGTAGCCAGTCTAGTTCATTCTGCAGGTGGCCTCACACCAGTGGCTATTAGAGTCCCCACTCCACTTCCCACAGGGACCTGCAGATCTTAAAGGCTCTCAGAAAAGGTGACAGCACCGGGACCCGGGAGAGGAGAAGACCTCCTTGGAGAACCATAATGTACTCTTCACTGCCACTACCACCACCAAATGGATTGTTAGAGCTTTGAAACACAATCTTTGTAAATTAATCACAGTGTCCCTGTACATACCTGCCTTCTCCCTGGGCCCAAGTTTGACAAACAATGGCTGAGAGGTAGAATAGGCTGCAGTGTGGAAGGACTGCAGGACAGAATGGGCAGCCAGGGATAGCGGCTCCTTCCTCTCCACATGGTGTACATCTCTAGGTGATCCGAATTGGACTTTGGACTCTGAAACAGCTTAATCCAAGAAAGTTAAAACCCCAGTGGAGATAAAGAACCCTGTGACTGAGTATTCCCCTGATGCCCAAGAAAGGGACTGTTATGTGCTACACTTACTGCAAGAAGAATCTTGTTTATTGTCTTCTCCTGGACTGGATAGTGGACTATATTTTATTATAGTTTTGAAAGACATCTGTAATGTAAAGACTGTCCATATTAATAACTAAATAAATAAGTTGTATATCAAACCACAGTGGTGGCATCATTTGGTTTGTTTGTATAATTTACTTCTATTTCCATCTCCTAGAGCAGTGCTTTACTCATTGTTGGTGCTCAGTAAATATTTGTTGAAGGAATTCTGATTTCCATGAAACTTCCATACTGCCCCAAAAAATTCTAGATAAATTGCTAGAGAAACTGAGATTTAGATAATTGTCTGACTTCAGAGTTTTGTGGGTTTTTTTTTTTTTTTTTTGAAGGTAGGATCCTTCCTCATTATACAGAAAAACCTCAGAACAGAGGCACCCACAAATCATAGATTTGAGAGGTGCCATTCTCTGTCTAGTACTAGCAATCAGCTTGCTGATATGCTAGAAACTCCTCTCCAGCAAAACAACATGCAATTCAAATCAACAGCTGTTCGACAAGACACAGAAGCCTGTGCCCTTACGGTGACAGAGGTCCCCCACACTGGGTGATGTGCTGCTATGTCATGACAGTGGGTAAGAGCCCACAGACAGTACCTTTATCTCCTATATCTCAATGGAGGCTTCCTTTAGCTTGCTGCCCCCTAAGAGTGCTTTCTAAGGGAGAGAATGCAAAGCTTGAATTACCACCTCGTGCCAGGACTAGAGCACAGATGAAGAGCAAAACCAGAAATGGGAGGGAAGAAGATGGGTGAGTGAAATGCACTAGCATGTGTCTCCACCCTCTCTCCCCATGGCATTAGCTCCTTGGAATCCTGTTAACTCTCGCCCCCCCCACAGCAACAGCAACCCCACTATACTCAAAGCAAAATTGTCTAAATATTGGCCCACAATCTAGTGTTGCCCTTGCTAAAACAGGTTTTGAGCATACTGATAGCCATGGCGATGTGGAACAAAATTCTTCAGTTCTAAAACGATTTCGTCTTGAATGGAATAGAATGCCGCTCTCAGATATAAGCATTCGTGTGAAGTGTTCTGAGGGACCCTGCATGTGAACATGTGAAAAAGAAACGCTCTTTGGTATCATGAGAAGGTTTATTATCTAATTCTGCTGAACACAAGGGGTGAATATGTGAATTACCTTGGTGAGCGTTACCCTTTATATCCAACTGTTAATAGAATCAGTAAGTTTAAAAGCCACTTCTAAACTCTAAGAAGACATAACATTAGAATTATACGAGTGTCTATGAAAAAGCACCTAGTGATTTTAGAGATGAATCTTCATAGATGTAGCCAGAAAAACAGGATTTTTTTTTCAAAGATGAGATCTTATTTTACATGCATTCATGCGTAATTATATATTGTGAAGCTTCATAGATACGTGTTTTATAGGTGTGTCTAAGATGTGCTAAACACTTTTAAACTATGGTAAGTACAAAAAGTAAAGTCTTTGGATACTGTGTGATGTGTATCACATCCTGGTTCTTTTCATTACCAAATACCTTACTCTCTGGGCCTGTAAGGAATTAATATGATGAGTTTAATGTTCCCTACTTGATTAAGATGAGTTTAATGATCCCATTATTAATATGGTAAGTATAATGATCCCTATTTCTCAGGGTTTTTGTGACAATTGAAACGTAGCAGTTGAAGGTAAAGTTGGATGGAACTGTGATACCTTATGGCCTAACCTACATTCCCCTGTCCCCACTGCAGGATTCCCAGCTAAAGGTACTCAAAGAACAGCCAAATGGGAGACAGAGTGTCTATTAATAGTTTGAGGAGCACCCAGTTGTCGATGCAGAATGTAGCCCCTTGTGTCCTTCCCCCAGAGGCTAAGGTGGTCAGGTCAACAGAGCAGGCCTTGAATGTAGGTCCCCACTAGCACTTCCTTTTCCTGTCTATTCATATGTCAAGTGGGAAGAACAGTAAATAGCTCAGTATGGTTACTAAGTCAATATAAATAAGGTTATGAGTTTTTTTCTCAATATAGAAACAAAATCCTCCCCATTTTCCATGCTGCCCAATTATCAGTATATATAAAATATACTTTTTTATATAAATACCTGTTCATGTATGTTTTTTTCTTAAATATAAATGGTATGTGTTTTGCATGAAGACAGATGGTAGTGAATCCACTTGTGACAGCCTACTTGTCATTATGGTTCTTGACTAGACAGGCTGATGTTGGAGGTTTCCACAGGTTACTGCTCTTTATATGCCATGAATGGCCAGCTACAGTATTTGAAGGGGGGCAAAAGTGAGTCTTGAATAGAACTCATGTTCCTTTCTAAATTTAACTAATTTTTATTTCCTTCTTAGTTGACTTTTAAAAGTTTATTTCCTTATCCACACTTCGTTTCTGCCTAGAAAACAAATAAAAACATTTTACCAAAACTTTTTAGCTATGGCTACAGAGATTCTAATCTAATGGCATGTCAAAAATGGACCATATACTCCTATTTATAACACTAGATAGGAACTTAGTATAATGTCAATTCATTCATTATAATTAGACGAAACTTGGACCATGTACCGTATTTTCCGGCGTATAAGACGACTCCCTAATTTTACAGTTAAAACATAGGTTTAGGCCTATATTCGCTGTATAAGAGTACCCTTTACTTCAAAGAAAAGACTTACTTTGCCGTCAAGATCTGCAGGTAGCCTAAACCGGTTTGGCTCAATGGATAGATCGTTGGCTTGGGGACTGAAGGGTCCCGGGTTCGATTCCAGTCAAGGGCATGTACCTTGGTTGTGGGCATATCCCCAGTAGGGGGTGTGCAAGAGGCAGCTGATCGATGACTCTCATCGATGTTTCTAACTATCTCTCTCCCTTTCTCTCAGTACAAAATCAATAAAATATATTTTTTTAAAAAAATCTGCAGGTAATTTTTGTGCAATTTTGGTCTTTTGCCCCTGATTTTCGGTTGACTTTTTTTCGGTTCAAGAGTCGTCTTATACGCCGGAAAATATGTAAGTATTGAAACCCACAATTCTCCTGATGTCCCCTCAGTCCTGCTGCCTGTGTCACATTTGTCCAGTAAGAATGTAGAGTCTCCCACTTCTCAAGGCATCCAGAGGATCTGAGTGATGCATGAGCAGCCCTGTCCTCTGGTCCGCAGCCTCACCAGTGCAGCCTTCAAAATGGAGCAAGTTGGGGGGTTAGGGCACGAAAGCGGGGACTCGGGTGAGAAGTGATTTATCCCAGGCCTCTGAACACATTTTTAGAATTTGTCCATGCTCAGAGGTCCGTGGTTTTTCTGGTAGGCATGCGTGCAGTTTTAATCTGCTTAGCCATAGAGTTAAAGCCATGTTCGGTGGCGTGCAGCACTTCATAGTATCCAATTGATTTTGGTCACATATATAGAGAAT